ATTTTTTTGAATTTTTTTTTTAAAATACAAGTTGATCACCCTAACCGCCCAAAACCGGAACCAGCCAGTAGCCTGTTTTGATCTAACCGAGCAGTTAGTGGTTAGATCAGGCGATTTTGCGAACAATGCTAGAGACACACTTACTAGAGATGCAGCTCCTTCAAACCCCTGGAGTATGTTCATTCCCTCTAGTTCTTCATGTTTTAGTTCTTATATGGTATTGTTTTCTCATTATCAGCCAAAGTGATATAGGAAGGGTATTTAGAATAATGATCCAGGCCAGGTCCTACGTTAGCAGTGATGGGGTGAAACAAGGCAAGATGAGGAGGGAACTAGACTTTGAAAAGGGGTAAGGGGGGGGAACACTTTGGTTGGAAACTTGGAATTGCAGGTGACTAAACCAAGCATTTTCAGAAGAAAGGGATGTTTTCTCTTGGAGGGTTTGAATGTGAGAAAAGTAAGGGATTTAGTCCTCATGGCTCACATAATGGAAAGTAGCCCAACAGAAAGAGAGGTCCACCCCTCTCAGTGGTAGTACCATAGGGATAAGGCAGGTCTAAATCAGAAAGAAGAAACCTTTGTGAGGTTAGAGGTGCCAAATGAGGTGATAAGGGTTACAAGGAAGGTGTTTAGTGTTTTCATGATGGGGAAATCCATCCCCAGCACCCCGATATCCCTTTTCTGCAAGAATGCATGAGAAAAAAAATTGAAATTTGGGAATGGAGCTAGGTGTAAGCATCAGGAGCAACAGCTGACACTTGATTAGATTGGGGGAGTGAATGATTATATGGGGGCCTAGAGTCTGCTTTTGCTTTTTTAGTATTCCTATAGAAAAAAAGAAGAGAGAGGATGCAGAGGTGCGAAATGGTCTGCTAGCTTCTTGGAGGGGTTAAAGTTTAAGGTTTGGTTAGAACTCAAACTGAGCCCCAGGGCTGCAGTCTAGGTAAGCATGATTAACCACTGAAAGGGACGAGTATGGAAGAGCACTTGTGCAAGGACAATCAGGGCCAAAGAAGGTAAAACCCTGGTTAACTTGATTGCTTTTAGTGAATTAGCATCATGTTTGAAAGTGGGGGAGGTCAATTTTTGCACTCCAGTTACTTTCATCTTATAAACAGTAGCTTATAAAACTGTACGATTATTCTACATGAAACAATATTTTATAAAGAATACATCCTAAATGTACATTGCTCTAGTTAAATGATACTATGACGCACATCAAATCATAGGAATGCAAACAAGTAAAGCTAATCTCTTCAAATTAAACATCAAAAACACAAGATACAAAAAATATTTAACTTCCACCAACAAAATAATATTTCCAATGAGTAAAGAAGATGAAATAGAATAGCAATTGATAGAAAAGATAGAACAATTATGTCCATATCAGATTATGCATTTTCAAGAACTTATCCCCCAAAGAGATACAAAGGAACATGTACTAACATAGAAAGTGTATACTATTGCTACCACCAGAATCGCATAACCGGCGTTGTAGGTAGGGAATTGGTGACGAAGGTGTCTTGCAATGAATACACAAAATATGACAATAGGAACAAGAATAAGCAATATGGTGATAAAAAGGGACCTAACGTCGGGTCCAAATATCACCCTCCCACCCAAAAAGAATCTCTACAAGTAAAAAACAGCACAGTGGTTAGTTCACATAATAAGTAACTTTAGAAGCAAAACTGGAACAAGTAACTTTCAAGCAAAGCAGCAAACTAGATACAACAAGAATCAACATATACACTAAGACTACCCTTTGTAGTGCAACATGTCTGACTTCCACCATAAACTAAGCAATATTAATAGATGGGAAATGGAAAACACAAAAGCAAATCATACAGAATTATGTAGCCACTTTCCACTAGGAGGAGACCATAGAATGTTTCAAAATCCACCAAACGATTGAACTGCAAGAATTCCAGACTTTCATTTCATAGATAACTGTGCAGGAGGAAACTCAAAATGGAGGAAATTCAAAGAAAGTATGATACATCCAATAAAAAACTCACTCCCATTAAATTTTCCATGCAAAGAGGCTCACACAAGAAAATGCATAGGTAGATATTTTTCATTGATGCAGAGTTCGAAAGCTGGATGCACTTGAAAAAATTCCTGGGCCCAACACCAAGGCAACGTATCTGGTAAGAGAATATCATACTTGCACACTTTAGGCAGAAGTGAGTGAGAGCTTGTGAGGTTAGTACAAACCAGGAATGCCTCAACGTGCCAATATGCTTCCCACAATTTTTAGCCAAGAGCCAAGATGGGTTTATAATTTTCAAAAATTGGCCAAACATTCAGTTGAAAAGTATTGCACAAAAATGCTTTGGGGAAAATTTTCAGCTTTCCAGAAAACTCATCACAAGGGGTTTGCAACTATGAGGATTCCCTTGAGAGAGTTGAGACAAATAGGATTCTTCTATAAGACCAATCAAGACTAATAATTAATCTAATATTCACCTAAATCGATGATCCTGAGCAATGTCACTAAGATTGGACTGGACCTGCCGGTCAGACCAGTTGGACCACAAACCAGTCATGGAATTGGTTATGTCTGGTAATAAACCATTTAGAACTAGTTCAATTAGTTGGCCAGACAAATTTAGACTGGCTGATCAGATCTTATTTTTTTTCTATTTTTTAATCTTTTGTTAATATCTTTTTTCAAAATTAGAATAACTGGTGAACTAGCGGGTCCAATTGTTCGGACCATACCAATGCCCTCACATGTTCGACAATCGCACCTAGTCTCAATAACATTGATGTGAAATCTACCATGGCTGAGGCCTAGCCCTCATTTATGCCAACACATTTATAATGTCATTTGAATTCTAATTCAACAAGGAATTTAGGCACCACCTATTACATACAAAACTAAAACAGTGTTTCTATTCTTGAGCAAACACGGTAAGCAAGAGTCTTTGCCTCAAAAGTCAGAACCCCCACGAGGAAGCAGCTTAGAATTCATCATTTGATCTCCATTCCAGTAAAGTTCATTGATTTTCATGTGGTTTTATCGCATATTCCCAGCTTGGAAGTAGAAGCTTGCATTTGCTTATGTTTCTCAGGACGAACACAACTTCCAGCCCTCAATTGTAGGGCTTTCATCAAAACCAAGCAATCTAAGGTGGGGCAACACAATATGGGAAGCAAGGTCCATGGCCCCACTAGAACTTGTCTGAAATGGGGCGTGGGACCCACTAGAGGTCCTCTATGATTTTGGGTCGCACTGAAAGTCTGAGAGAGGCAAGCCAAGAAAAGAATGCACCCACGTTGGTACCCCACTAGCCTAAGTTCTCTTTATTTATTATTTTTATTTTTCCCAATGTAATTGGAGCTATTGTTAACTAAATACGTTTCTTTCGTGTTTGTTGGGTTTCCTTTTTGTATTGGAGCCTTGGTAGGTATCAGTTGCTTGAAACCGAAGTAAACTAGATTTAGTAACCAGGTTATTATAAATACACGTAAGCCAAACATGATTTTGAAAAACAAATTTGCTTCTTGCAAACTTCAGTGGTGCTGATTCCGTCTCCTTATGCTGCCAAGTCCACAAGTTATCATGGTGCTGATTCCACAGAAACCCAAGTTTTGTGTAGTGCCGGTTCAATACGAATCTCGAACACTTCCCCCTCCTCCCATAGCAATCACCACCTATAGAAACCACCACCGACATCCATTTTCACTCTGCATCCCCACGTGCCATCACCTCCATCTACACATTACACCATCCGCCATCATCTCTTTCTTATAGACAACCCCATGCTCTGCATCATCTCTAGACCCTATCAAACTAGGCACGCCACCTTCCATCATCTCCACCATAACATCATCCTAATACTCCTTTATCTTCAGCCTACAAGGTTACACCTATGCATCACAAGACATATTCCTCATCTCCAAAAAATCAAAACCCTAATTCCAAAAAATCAATCGATGCCAATCCCAATTCCAAAACCGTAAACTCAGCTCCCTCCAAACCCAATCATAACCACTTAAACCATGACTTGAGTCCCATAAATCCTAACCCCTAGTCTACGTTTTAGTCATGTGGAATCATCTCTGTGGTCCTACAACAAATTGCCAGATGCAACCATACTAGCATGGACACCTCTGAGTTAAGGAAATGATTGCCTTGGTTTTATATTCCTTTACTGGCCTTGATTCAATGCTTCAGGAAATTATACTTTAAAGAACAACTGCAATTCGTTAAAGCAAATGACAACCAAAGCATATATATATTATCAACCCTTTTCCCTTATATGCTTTAGCCCTAAACAATATGCCACAATCCCTTGAAATCTGCCGTATAAATAAAATCTTCTTCAGTTGTATAGTATGGGTCAGCTTTCCCGTCATTCAAACTGTGTAACGCTCTGATTTCCCAGGGCATCTTCAGTCAAATCTAACAGAAACGTTTGCTTGCTTCTTACATTGTGGAAAATCTTTTCAAGCAAATATCTTCTGATATCCTAGGATACTTAAGCAAGAATTCTGCCCCATTACACATAACTACCCATAAGCCACTTGACTTTCCACTAGTACTCACAACATATAAAAATGGAACCTGTGCAACAATAATGAGCAATACTGTCTCTCTCTCAAAAAAAGAAAAAGGAGAAAAAAAGAATAAGACTGCGTTTTTCGTGCACTATCAGAATTATCTCTACAGAAGATAATTGATGGAAATTTTTCTCATTTTTTTTTTTATAACAACATTGGACATTAGAAGTCAAATGGCGTATGCCATGATAATTTACATCACATTACATGTAAAACACATACCGTACACTAAAAAAGTAAGTCTTACTGATATACCCACAAAAAATAGAAAATAACAAGCTCAATAAATTATGAAATAGAAAAACTCGAGCTAATGACAAAGAAGGACTTCAATAAGGGCAGAGTGTATTTAAAAGGTCGAAAATTTTACATTATTTCCTTTCCAAACTTGGTAGGTCCGCTTGGCCATGGGGTCTTCTGATACGTTCATGCCTGCCATCACCTAATAGTAACCTTGTGAAATGTAAAACTCCATAAAAAGAAAAGTTGTTGTTGGCCACAGAAACAGGCATTTTAGCTCATCAGAGCCTCCAACATTTGCCCCACCAAAATGAATTTCTCCAATCATTGAGCTCGAGCTCAAGTCACGATATGATCAAATTACCACTCCTTCATTAATAGCTTCCGCTGTGTATCCAAGGAAAAAAAAAATTAAGATCAAAAGCACCCTTAAATTTTACAATTTGCAACAAATGTTAATCAACTAAGTACACAGACGACACAGCACATCAAAGGAGTCCAAGAAACTTAAAGTATCACCGTTAAGCACCAAATTCACTATTAAATTAGCCAAGTAGGCTTGTGCTTAATAGTAGAGAATTGCCCAATTCCCAAGCAAAGAACAAGTGAATATGCAAATTTTAGGTCCCATTTAGTCTCAATTTTAAACTGGGCATTGTAAGGTAAGCATTACACAAATGAATTCAAATGTTGAAGCTCAATCATAAGCAAACAAAAGGGGCAAGGAATTCCACAAATAAATGAGAAAAATCACTGAGACAAATAGCGAAATGAAAGCCATATGCGAACAAAAACGGCTCAATCAAGTTCATATTTGAGTTCAAAACCCCAAACCTTTCAGATCTTAACAAGCAACAGATAACGAACAATTACAGGAAAATGGGCAAAAAGAAAACCTATTATCGAAGAAGATGATTGTACCGACCTAAGAGACCCTCGGTTAAAATAGAGAGAATTGGAGACAGAGAGAGAGAGAGAGAGCGTGTGTGTGTAAAGAAGTAAGGGGCCCGGTTTGTCCCTTTCGCGCTGGAAAGGCTTCCTCTTTCTCGGTCTCAAACGAGCGGCGGATTTTCATCGACTTTTGCTTTTATTATTTATTACTCGTATCTAGAGAGAGAAAGCTAGTGTTTTAGAGAGAGACATTTATTTGTTTCTCTGTCAATTGAAAAAGTTTACATAACGTTGCGACCACCTTAAAAATTTATAAATCTATCATAAACGGTTGCTTTGACATTGAAACCCTCTAATGGCCATCTTTACATCGACGAATGAATATAAAAATAAAAATAGATTTTGAGTCTCAAAATACTGTATATTGCAATAATATTATAACTTCATTAATAACTCGGAGGTTTTACAATTATTTGCTAGCCCATCCACATTCTCATTAGCCTCTATACACATGCAGGAAAGAAATTTCTACTGATGCTAATCTCCATGACCTCCATCCACTTGCTTCTCAATCCATATTTTGGCCGAGTTTATTTAGTACGCCAACTCATGCATTAAGTGAATCACCTTCAACAATACAAGTTCATAGCCTAAATCGATGAAGAAGAACGTGCAATCCTTGTAACGAAGCTTCCATCTCTGCACAGTTTGTCGTTGTCACTCCACAAGGTCTTGCATAGCGTAAAATCACTGCAACATTTGAATCTATGACCCCTTCAAATCCAGCTTTATTTGGATTTCTAAAAGAGTTTTCACCAAAATTTAACTTAAAGCTTCCACTAATAGGCAGTCTCCAAACACCCCTTTGGCCCAACCTTAATCATCCTTTGTCTAAATAAATTGGAAAGATTAACCGAAATATCAACTTCAAGACGACAGCTTCCACTAACAGGCAGTCTCCAAACACCCCTTTGGCCCAACCTTAATCATCCTTTGTCTAAATAAATTGGAAAGATCAACCGAAATATCAACTTCCAGACGAAAGCTTCCGCTAACAGGTAGTCTCCAAACCCTTTGGCCCAACCTTAATCATCATTTGTCTAAATAAATTGGAAAGATTAACCGAAATGTCAACTTCAAGACGAATTATGCTTCTTATGCACATAAAAAAGAATGTCGAATGGGGGCAAATATCATCTTGAGATAACACTCCTGCATACCCGAAAACATGAAGAGTTCGAGCTTCTAATTTTTCAAAATTATACCATCTTCTACCTCCATTTCGTCCACCAATTTCCAACAATAAATAAATAAATTTCAGGTAATAAAAGTGGTGCATATTATAATAAATTGTCTAGACCGTTTATTTTCGATATTCAAATGTCAATAGATCTGCTCGATTTGTACTTTTGTGAAATTTTAAATTTCATAATTAAAAATAAAAATAAATTTTCAAACCATCATAAATTTTTTTTACATCGAAACTACATCTCCTAGTAACTTTAGAAGGGAGCCTTACTTCTACGGTACAAGAGAGGCGCCTTATACAAACCTCACCCTCTATATGTTTTCCTTTTATCTTCATTTCGTTACCGATCTAATGGACAATTTCCTATCCGGAGGAGTCACTCACAAAGGGCATGCCTCTTGGACCAACATGTAAATAATAGTACTTTATATGTAAAAAAACTAAAAATACATGGCCTCTTCGAACTAATATTCCAAATAAATATTTTCATCCATTACCCATCCAATCAATAATTTTGCATTCGAGTAAGCCACAATGGAACGTCCTCCCAAACCAATAAGTAAATAGTAGTGATTTAAAAAATAGGCAGTTAACCTAAATCGGGCACCTAAAAAATTGGTTTGGATCGGTGAATCGATAGTCTGAATCACCGTTTTATTCTTGTGAAAAAAATAGTGAACCAACGAAAAAATAGTAAAATGTCCAAAACCAGTCTAGCTCAATAAATCAGCGGCCTGGATCGCGTTTTTACTATAGAGAATCATCGTTTTTACTATGTGAAAATTGTCGGTGAAGTTAACAATTTTCTTATATATACGCAAAACTGGAACGAAAATGACTAATTTTCAGATCGAATCGAGTGATTCCATGCTAACCCGACATTTTTTAAATCATTTGCAAAAATACGTGGACCACGTGTCAAAACAAATATGTCATGTACTAGGAATTGACTCAAGGCACAAGTGATCAAGGTGGTGGCCTCTCACAATGTGGTACCTGTATTCAAGTATTGAGTTCTTTGTGCAAAGGACCATTTCGTCCAAGTGTTTTATGCCTTTGTTGGTTGGAAGCATTGGACGAACACCTGACCGTGTATCTATGGATTCCTTCCAAAGATAACTTACTAATTGTTGGATGAAGTTTCTATAAGGATTAGGCTTTATGAAAACAAAATAAAGCCCCACTTCAAATCCTCGTTCGGAAGGCACTTTCGGCCAGCCATGGAAGTCTTCATAATGGATTTAAAATCAATTTCCAACATTGGCAATAAATTTTGAAACTAAAAAAAGATACAGATCTTACGGATCTATGAACACTTATTTTTAAGGTGAAATGGATGTTCTAGATAATTTATTATAATATACACTATTTTAGCTTAAAATCCTAATTCTTTTTTAAAACAATAATGTTCATGCCAAGATGATCGATGTAAATGTTTTCCAATGCCTGAATTGTAATATTTCAATGAGTTGTGAGGTGAGGTTTTACTTATTTTAATAGGGCTCCAGCCCTATCAAACCTTTCCTTAATTGTTCTATTGTTCGCTGTGGTGATTCCAAAAACCAGTAAATTTCATCCTCATAACCAGATTTTGCTAAGTTGAAGTGAAAGTTGATTTTTTCTCATTCCAAACCCAAGAAAGAGATGTTATGACTGTATCTTTAATTCAATCAAATCATTACTTTTGATATCCCTTTCAAGCAGACCATATAGGTGCTCCCTGTGAACATTTGGAAATATTGTGAACCTTTTTTTGGGTAGATAAATATTGTGAATCTAGGAGTTTATCTTCTAAATAGTTATTAATAAACATATGGGATTTAGAGTGACCTTAGAAGTTAGAATAGAGACCTTAGAATCGAATGAAGTTGTCATTCATGTGAGGAGTAGTAAGGTCTTCTGCTGAATTATTATGGGAGCAGTAAGGTCTTCTGCTGAATTGGCTTATAAAAATAATTCAAAACACCAAGTTACGTGCTATAATAATACTGTGGAAAAAGTTTATATAGAGCCGAGGCTCTAAACAATCAAATTACAGAGCACCTCAAAAATATCACTAGAAGAGGTTGTTTTGATGCCCCAAGTATCCTCAAATTGATCATCCCGACATCAAGATGCATGAACATGAGAAAAAAAGATATTTCAAGTTTTGGAAATAGTGCATCTTGTAACGTAATTTTGGACCGTCAATTTTCAAGTTTTCATATATCTAATCGATCTACTCTATTTTTTAAGCTTTAAATTTTATAATTAAAGATGAAATTATGTTTTAAGGTTATCACAAATATTTTCAATATTAAAACCACATTTCTTGACACTATTTGAAGGTACATTTTACTTTGATTGTTTAGAACCTCGGCTCTATACAAATCGCACCCTAATATTATTGATGGGTGTAGTTAGAACAAGCCCTTCTATAGTACAAAGTAAAACTGCACTTAAAAACCTTACGAGAAAATGTAGTTCTAGTGTTGGAAACGCTGATGACAATCTAAAATCTACTTTCACCGGTAATTGAGGAATTTGGATCTCTAAAAATAGTATAGATCTGGTAAATCTCCAACTACATGAAAATAAAAGGTGAAATAACATTTTATGAAACACACTTGTTTTAGAGATTTGAATCCATTTCTTTTGAAAATCTATAATTGTCAAGATTAGTAAGAGGGATTTCTAATACCAAAACTTGGATCTCTAAAAATAGTATAGATCTGGTAAATCTCTGACTACTTGAAAATAAAAGGTGAAATAACATTTTACGAAACACACTTGTTTTAGAGATTTGAATCCATTTCTTTTGAAAATCTATAGTTGTCAAGATTGGTAAGAGGGTTTTCTAACCCCAAAACTGCAATCTCCATCGAGGTTTGAGCTTCTCCCTGCAATAACATTTTCGATTATCTTAAGTTGTGCATTAATCGGGTTGAAAATATAATGATTAATGAAGGGGGATATGTCAATTTATAAGTTATGGAGTTAACCACATGTGCAAGCTTGCTAATGGTTGTCCATTTTAGATTCTCAGAGAATATGCAAATTGAACTATGATAATCCATTATGTGCAATTGTGCTAATGACCACGACAGGCCTCCTAATTTTATTACCTCTATTTAAACAAGGCTCTACCTACCCAAGATTATTAAACTCATTATCACTATTTGACATGGTTGAGAAATGGATAATGCTTTGCCATGCTCAACTAAGTGACCAATCAACCCCCCAGTAAATGTTGACAAGGTACTTACCCCGCTTTAAGGGAAAGGGGTTGGGTCGTGGGGGTAGCACCCTCATACCTAGTTACCATTGAGTTACATGTTAAATCATATATTGTAGATAAGCATTGTAAATATTTGGGTATCTTTATTTGTTGAATAGGATAAGATTGTAACAACTCTACTCATTTTTAGTTTCTGGTTTATAGTTACTCATTTTTAGTTTCATGTTTGTAGCCTCCAACATACTAGTCCAAAAAGCGTTGTGTAAATATACGCGGTTTTTCCAAAAGAAGACACATGAAAAATATGATTATTTATTTGTTAACATGGCATCAGAGCAATTTCTGTATATATTTGTTTTCTTTCTCTAGAAAGGGAAGCACTCTAAACTTATGCACTCTCACATTTTGGTAAAAAAGCAGTAGTTGCAGCACATGTTATCTAGAGTTTCCGATAAGATTGTAGAGCACCCTATTGTTCTTTTTTGCGGTTTTTTTTGTTGATCTTTCTTGATCACTTCGGCTTGGTCTTTCTTAGTTGCTTTTGCTTGTAGGGTCTTTGGGGTTTCTTTGTTGGTATCTTTCTTCTGAGAAATTTGGTGTTTTATTCTTTCTTTAGTTTTCAATCCATCCAACTCTTAGGTTTTTGGCTTGTGGTTTCTCTTTAAGGTTTTATTCTCTCTCTACTTTTCCATCAGTCTAACTCTTTGAGT